TATATATATATGTTAGTTTTAGTAAGAGTTTTACTGTACACAAGTATATCTGTCAAGTCTCATGATCCTCTTGATCTAGGTATAGCAGAGATGAAATGGTGAAATTGAAATGGTGTAGAGGTTTAATGCCCCAATCAACACTATAAGGTGAGATTTAAGAGGCCGGACCTCCGATTTTAACGTCCATCTCCAAAAGGACCGGGCCAATTGGGAAAATCATGTAAAGTGCCTTTCCCAAGGACACAACATCGGACAGAGCTGAAAGCCCGAATCACAGGTCCGGCGGCCTAACGACAAGGCTACCAACACCACCACCCTAGGAGGGATAGCAAAGGACAGAATAATACTGAAAACAAAAACCGTTTATTTCTAGTCAACTACATTGAACTTCAAAGATCTACAAAACCACAAAAAAACTTATGATACAAGCCTTGTTTTCTTTGAAAACCATTCTACTACCTTTCATGTCTATTATAAGTGTTTAATATTGGCTTCCGTGACTGAAAAAGCTGCATGCATATCAAATGTTCTCATTTCCATTATTGATCAACTTGTTCATCTCACACTTAGTGTGACTTGGCAAACTTTGGCGAGAAGAAATCTTAATCTCAGCACTGCCTAAAGCCAGTGTTCAGTTCACCGAGTTGAGCAAAAAACTGAATGTTGTTACCAAGAAATCAAACTCTGCAAACATCCCAAGTTCATATTTTTAAGTGTATACAATTTTTATAATAACTTCCTTCATATCCGTACGCCTGGGGTCATTTCGTACCCCAGGGGTTGTATTCTTCAGATTTTTGAATACTTCTAGTGCGAAGATCTCCTCGAAACTTTCAGTATTTCTCAAAAAATCATTTTGACAGACAGCTAATACTGTTATGCAAAGCGTACGGATCAGATTAACGAGTAAATTTTCTCTTTGGAAAGTGGGGGCACGGAGTTCCCCACGTCATATATGGATACGATAGGAAAACACGACGTACGGATAGGATTTTAACCTTTGAAGTTGAAGCAAATGTTGTTTGCTTGGTAACAACACTGTACTGTACTTATAAAAATGACAGCAGATTTACTATGTGCAATGATGTGTCTTGTTCAGTGTTTAATCAAGAGATAGGAAAAGAGTAATGCTGATGAGCCTAACAACTAACTTTTTTAATATCATTTTGTTTTTACAACATTGTTCTTATTTCAGATCACAATCATGATAATGAAACCATCATTGGTCAAAGCATGTCACTTGCCCCTCTTGTGTAATCACTTCCCGATCTGTAAAGCCAGCCTTCACGTTCCAACAGCCGCAAATACGCATGATGCACACACTTCACGTTCCAACAGCCGCAAATACGCATGATGCACACAAACACAATTCCCACACCATTGCCATGGATATCACCCAATGCAGTACTACACTACCTTTCTTCGATCATACACCTAGCACCCACTTCCGCATGTCTAGACAGAAGGAAGGTTTACGCACACTACAGTTAACGTGCGATGATATATATCTCCCTAGCTCTCCCCTCTTCTTGTTTGTTTTAGTAGAGTAGGTTTTTCGGCGCTCGCAACTGCATAAATTACAAGGTCATTTCATATGAGCGCCAGAAGAATAGAGGTGTTACAAGAGAGTAATAAACATAAAAAAGAAGAAGGGGAGATAAAGACAATAGATGTTTCATAAGAAAGAAGAAGCAAACCACACCAGAGCACCCGCCAACCACCTACAAGGAAGGTTAAAGCGCTTTACCCACACTACAGTTAACGTGCTATGATGCATCTCCCTAGCTCGCTCTCCCCTCTAATCTTTAACAATACACCTGAAAGTTTTAGTCAAAATGAACATGATGTCCAAAGTGTCCACTAAGCCTGGATCACTAAATGCTAACCTTTCTGAAGCATTAAAATCAAATAGAAGAGCAGGAATAGTCTAGCACTCTGCCTGTTCTATCCAATACTTTATGCAATGCTTGCTTGGATACAAAATATCGTCACAGCACATGCAAAATGGCATTTATAGCTGTGCCTGTGCCAAAATGAAAAAAATGAACTAGCATTTTGACTTTTCCTTAGTTTGGTGGTACTGTGTATAACTCTATCTTATGGTAAAACCAAATAAAAATGCACAAAAGCAGTCACAAAAGAAACTTGCAAGGCAAGCTTTTCTACTACTATTAGATGATAAAAGACTAGTTGAACAGTTATATTCCATTTTTCTCAAAAGTAGCAAAAATGAGTTGAGAGCCATTTTGCTGGCGCAGAGACAATAGGTGAGGCATCGTGGTGAAATCAGGTGCTTGTCCAAAAAATGAAATCAAAGAAATCGGCATTTTTTTTCGCCAACGGGCAATTTTTTTCTAATTTTTTTTGGGGGGCTCAAAAACTTTTTACATCTCTGTTTAAAACAAAGAGCTTTTTGGGAAATTTGTATTTAAACTTGTTTCGATGGCACGCATACACTGTCTAAAAATAAAAGAACAATGCTAAGGGCAACAACTCTGTCATCTTAGCACCAATATCAACAAAACAATTAAACATAAAATTCCTTCAAGGGTGCATCAAATTTGATCATGAAATAAAAAATATGTTTAAAAAGAAAAAAAAAATCGTTTTCTTAAGATTTTAACTGAAACTGAGTAAAAACAATTTCTTAAAATGTAAAAGTCTAAATCATAATTATGTGTTATATCTGTACTTGAATAAATTTGTTTTAAAAAAGTGTCATTGCATAGACACTGTTGAAAAAAAAATATGACCCATTCAAAGTGCAATGGTGTTGTTCACTTTAATTTTTCCTTTTTTTTTTAAAGACAGAAAATCTACGAAAACAACAAGAAATTGAACAGTCAAGATGTTGTTGTTTTCAAATCCCTTTAGCACGAGCATTTCGCTCTTGGCTGCGCAATGCCTCCCTCAAGTAACCACATGTCCTTGTCAACGACAGAGTAGAGCAGGCTTTGTAAGTCTGTAGGTGTGTGTAAGAGCCAGCATTGAAGAGCTGCCAGGTTTGGGCAGTGAAGGAGAAGATGTTCAACGGTCTCCTCGTGGCAGTCACAGTGTCTGCAATGGGGTTTACACATTCTGATGTGCTTGTTGGAGTGTAAGTGTCCGAACATTCAAGATAAATTGACTCAGAAACATGAACGGGGTTTATCCAGAATGTCCAAATTAATCAAGCTTGTCCAGAGAGAAATGGTCAACACTTCTGAAGCGTATATTTCAAAAAGTGATTGCCTCCCCTGAGTTTGTGAGGCGATGTCAGTTTGAAATAAATTTCAGCAGCTGGCTGTTCAAATTATAGGCTACTGTGACAAAAATTTATTTTTAAACATTTTTTTTAAATTGCAGTTTTGTCAAAATTCAAATTCTAAAATCAAAAAGGGTAAGAAAAGTAAGGAGGTTCATTCGTTAAGAGTCTAACAATTTTTCTTGCTCCTAAAAAATGTTTGTTTTCTCAGCTTAAAAGACATTTGAACAGTTTGCTGACAATTTGTTTGTACTACAGTGCACAAACATCATGGTTGATTTTTTAGGAAGTTGTGAATTTTGCTTTTCTTCAATTTCGGCTGAAATTTCAAATTTTATAGAGGCCCTACTTGATGTTTTCCAGGGACTTTTTAAAAATCGATTTACTTCTGATGATGTTCCCCTTGACTAAATTACATTTGCTCAAAGGTTTGTCAAAATTGGTGTAAAAATGACAGTTACGGTTCTTTATTAACTTGTTGCTACTCTATTTTATGCTTCAACAATTCAACATTAATTAAACACCGAAGTCAGTAGTCCCTAGCCTTATCAATTCACAATCTGAATTTAATAAAGACAATCCAAACACCATTGCCGATGCCACTATGAAGTGCCTTGTTATTTTTAAGCAAGGTTTATATGTTGCTCAAGGTACACCCGAGTGACCACCCACAAAAACGCTGTGTCAACCTCACGCACAAGACGTTATTGTGAGCCTGACCTCACTATCACTTTCACTAACCACTGAGCAGTGCCATCACCTGGATTTCAACAAGACCATTGCCGTACAAATATATGTAAAGATAACAAAATAAATCTAGATCTATGTGATCAAACAAAAACAATGTTTTCTTCTGTGTTCAGTTCAACCTTTTAGGCCTGCATTTCACTAAAAGTAAGTTAGTAGTAGTAGGCCTACTTAGTAGCCTACTTAGAAGTCTGTAAGTCTAGATCTAAAATCTAGATTCTAGATTTACTCTGCTAGGGCTAGGGCTAGGGCTAGGGCCTAGGCCTATTTGGTTTGTCAACAAGTTACTCTCTCCTATTTCAAGAATCAAGAGGACCCAACTTCAAAATGAAGAAGAAGAAAGAAGAGGAAGATTACAGAAAAGGAGAACCTTGGTGAGGTGTTCCAGTTCTATTGCTATCTAATTAATAACATTGATATGACCACTCAAAACACAGTCACAATGACAGCCTGGAATGTGTGGTGGTAAAAAGTGAAAATGTGGGCGGTGGCATAACAACACCAACACAATGATGAAAGGCAGAGACTGCCCTGATGTTGTGCTAGTGTACGAAAGAGACCGTCATGTAGTGTAACAGGTGATGAAAGAAATATCATGACTGTTTCATTTCAGGGTGAAATTTTAGTACTAGAAAGAATGGAGAATGTGCACTCCTAAGGTGTCCACATCTTCACTGTATACACAGAAAAAACCATAACAGCAGACCTCTCGTGATCCGTCTCCGAATCAGCCATGTTTACTTTGGTTCATGTTTTTATTTTACACGCGTGATGTCCGGAGTTTCAATTCAGCTCAGCCGTAGTTCCGTATTAAATGGCTCGTGGCGGAGACCTTTTGGACAAGGCTTTCATGCAATTAATTTATTATTTTTAAAAATATTATTGTTATTGTTCTCTCTCTCTCTCTCTCTCTCTCTCTCTCTCTCTCTCTCTCTCTCTCTGTGTGTGCGTTTGTGTGTGTATACGTGTGTGTACATTTATTATTATTTATATAAGACAGAATCGCAAAGGGAGCCGGAAAATAATTTCCATGCCTTGGCTAGACATTTTCCGTAGAGGGATCTAAGATACTATACCCTACGGTACTATCTTAGGGGGGATTTCGAGGGCGGTGGAGGGGTGGGGGGGGGGGTAATAGACTCAGCCGGTGGGATCAAAGGTTGCCTGTCAGGTCGGCAAACAGTGGTCAAAATTTCTCATCTCCCAGATGGCGCTCATATGACCTTAGATCTATGCAGTTGCGAGCGCTGTAAAACCCTCTGCTATTTTTTTTTTAACGCATCTCACAGGTGCTATCCTTTCTGATAATGGTATGCGTCAGTCCTACTTATCTACTGTCCAAGGGCTTGCATATTATTGACATTTGTCTTGTACCTCACCTCCTTTCCTGCTCTCTACGTCTCCGCTTTATTTTTTGACCAACTCACTCCCTTTGCCTCCTCTTCGCTGGGCCCACTCTTTCTGCAACATCCTTTAAATTAAAAAAATTCTACTGCTACTCCTTGGCCCCGTATTTTTACTGCTGTCTTTCAGCCACAACCCTGATTTTCTGGTAGGAATAAAGATCTGCGCCTAGCCTCTCGAACAAAGATAAAAAATCTCGGAGGCCCCGTATGCAAGTTGCGCGTGAAATAATATCCTAAAACCGATAAGAGTAGGCTTCAGCCGCCACCCGGGCAAAATTCAAAATGTTCTACCAACTGAAAACGTTTAATGTGTACCGTGCGCTCATATGACCTAATGCAGTTGGCGAGCGCAGTAAAACACTTATTACCATTTTTTTAAAATTAATAAATAAAAAAGACCTAATTTGTTTGACCTATCAAAAATAGAAACGTTCAATCATCTATAACCTACACGTACGTCCCATCCTTAGCCCCACACACCGTGGTTAATAAACGCAGTCAACCAGTGCCATCCTCTCGTGCTTGAAACAATAATTTAATGATTCCAGGAACTGTTTTCTTGGCTGGACGTACGATCAGGGCGGCAGACATATTATTGCCGGCCATACTAATTTCACACCCATGGGTTCTGTCTGGCGACTCGTCGAAGTTTCCATACTGGAGCCTCATGCACTTCAAGCACTTTCACAGTTCACAGGTACTGGCGAGTGGAGGTCGGGGGATGAAGGCTTGGACCAGGGGTATATCACCATCTTCCCTTGTTCACTGCCCTTCCACACAAAAGGACATCACAGGAATTTCACACCCACACACTATCGCTGCACCAATAACTTCTTATAAGGGCTCACATCTATACGTTCTTATACTATCTCTGACCGTCTAGGCTCACATCAACGCCAGTTTTAGAGTAGGCGTTGGCTCACAGGGATGGGTAACATCCTTCTCTTTTCATATTGAGCCCCTATAACTCCTCCTTCCTCGCCTGGCGGCGTGACGTAAAAGTTTGAGCCGATGGAACCAAACGTGATAGATCTAGATCTAGAATCTAGTGTAGTTTTGTTTCAAATCAGGGCTGAGTGGACAAAACATTCTCCGTCTTAGACAGGTAAAACCCTCCGAATAATATAAGGAAACCACCCACAACAACAACAGCAACACAGTTTCTGGAAGGTTATAATTACCGTACATGAATGTCATACGAACTCGCCAGTACTGGCTGCACCGGACATGTCTTCAATATAGTGCACAAGAAAAGGGACGATCCGAATCGAGTGCGTGCAAGAGGCCGATTGGAAAATCTGCCACAATTGGGGGTAGCGCTGATACAAAAGTAGGACATAATTTCTCAACAAAACTTTACAATAAATGTTATAAAAATCCATGTGAAGACACGCCTTGGTCTGTTTAATGTTAACGATGGTCATACAATGTTCTAAAGGTGTGATCAGATCTTTATTAAATACCGGTATCGACTTGTGCTTATCAGCACTCCGATAAAAGGAAGACAAGACAATGTATCGAAATCAGTTCATACAATATTATGTGATTAAATTGATCCATGGGCTGGGTTGTAAACGGATCAGCTTCAATAAACACTTCTTTTGTTCTTTCTTGAGTATCTTCATACTTCATTTGATACAAACGTGTACAGACTCTCCGAATGAAGTGTTGCGTTTTAATGGTTCCCAGTATTAGTGTGTGTGTGTGTGTGTGTGTGTGTGTGTGTGTGTGTGTGTGTGTGTGTGTGTGTGTGTGTGTGTGTGTGTGTGTGTGTGTGTGTGTGTACTTTGCCTTAGTAATCGTGTCGCCTTCCTAAATATTAGGCCTTAACTGGGGCCAAAACCAGATTATAAGATACCGGTCGAAGAAAAAAAAAACCCAGGGGAAGCTGAGCATCTGCCGCACGTTTAGCCTCTCGGTACCTTCGAATGACAAAGTTCTACATGTATGTGACATTCTTGGCCGTTACTAAGACGATGAGGTCAGATACCAAAATTAATGTTCTGTCTGCTCTATCAAATTCGTAAGATTATATGTGATGCAGCGTGGTGGAATCAGGCTCTCGTCAATTTGTGGGTATGTAGAGTTATTGGTATCATCCTAAAGCTTGTTCACTTGTCTTTATTTGGATTAAAAATTAATGTCCATTCATCTTGAATACATTTGAAGATATTTGCGAATGAAGGAGGTGAGGGTCACCTGTTTTCAGAGGAAACATTAGTGAGAAAAGGCCGCCAAAGATTGGTTATTTCCTTAGCCTAAGAGTCCGTGGTAACTGAAAATTTCCATTTTTTTGGTGCTTTTAATCAACGTTTTTCAGAAAAATCAACACAGAAATGAATTCTTTATTGGGCATGAAAGGTGTTGAGCCAAAAAACAAAAATTTGATAAAAATTCACAAACCTGCGGAAAAATGCAGGTTTGTTCAATTTGATTATTTTGACGAGAGCCTGATTCCACCACGCTGCCCCACATATGGAGTCGTTCGTTATCAAGATATTCAAAGAGATGCGTGCGAAAAAGCATGACGTGTTGTGAAACTCAACGTTTTTAACATCAAAATTTCTCAATACAACTGTACTTGGCACTGAGCAGACAGAGCTTTATAATTCTAGTCTAGGGTGGCAAACAATCAAATCTCTATTTATACTCCGGGTTTGACCCAATTTTTTCCCCAACAAATTGTTGGTGTTTTTAGGCCATCACGTGGCGTCGGTGACCTAGTGGTTAGGCTCTCGGACTCGCAACCATAAGGTCGTGGGTTCGAATCCCGTTAGGGGCCCGACGTTGTGTCCTTGGGAAAGGCACTTAAATTTACACTTTTTTCCTCACTTCACCCAGGTGGGAATGGGTACCCGGCTATAGACAGCGAAAGATCTTGTCAATTTGTTAGTGTTTGAGCGCTTAACAGTATGCTTCCCGGGAAGCTGAGAATATTTCTGAGTGCTCCATGGTGTGCTGGGGTAATAATTTAGAGTAAAGCGCATAGAACCTGCTGTTGAGCGGGGATATGCACTATACAAATGCTATTTATTATTATTATCAACACGATTTAGATCATTTAGGCAGGAGGCGGGCTTCCGACCCTGGCTGCAAGGTCACCCCAAGATGAGAGCGATACATGACAACATCCTAACACTAACTGAAAGATCCAGACACTCGGTAAAAAGTTAGATCCATCCCTATTAAGGAGCCCAACTCGGGTCTCCTGCGTGTGACAGCGAAGCACCTACCACTAATCTAAATTAAACCACGGGGTGGGTGGGGCTCTCGTAGTCTAGAGGTTAAGGTGTTCGCCTCTAATTTAATAAGTCTTGGGTTCGAAACCTGACAGCGAAGGAAAGTTTTCTTTTTTTTTTTTTTTTTTTTCTCCTTTCAACTCATTTCCTCCCCTCTAATCATGTTCTGTCGTCAGCTTTCGCTTCCACTCTTTGCCTCCTTTGGGTTCCTGGCTCTTTCTGCAGCTTTTCTACTGCTACTCCTTTTGGCTCCTCCTTACTGCTGTGTTTCAGCAACACCCCTGATCTTAGGGTAGGTAAGATCGAACACCTAGACCTAGCCTTCTCGAATAAGGGTGATAATTTTTTGAGGTTCTGTTATCGCCTCAGTGAGTTTATTATTGCCCAAGGGACGTAACGTAAGTTAAGTTAGAACTTTTTCAGCGATAGCATTACCATCTCCCTTTAATATGGATGGAGAGCCTTGTTTGTTTGTTTGCTTTGGTAAGCGTTTTACGGCGCTCACAACTGAATATATAAGGTCATATGAGCGTGTGGGACATATTAATAGGTATACAGACAAATTAATATGTATAAAATGTATTAAACATTTTCAGTTGGTAGGAAATTTTGAATTTTGCCCGGGTGGCAGCCGAAGCCTACCCTTATCGATTTTGGACAACCAAGGGATCTTTTACGTGCGCAACTTGCACACAGGACCTTCCGATTTTTCGTCCTTGTCCAAGAAGGCTAGGTGTAGATCTTTCCTACCATAAGATCAGGGGTGTGGCTGAAAGACAGCAGTTAAGAAGGTGAAAGGATACAATTTTAGAGAGGAAAAATTTCCGTCGCTATCAGGATTCGAACCCGGTACCTATTGAATGTCAGTAGCGAACACCATATTCTCTAGGCCACGACACCCCGCCCCCCTCCTTGTATGTTTGTACGTTTGAGTAAAAATAAGCACATCAACACAATAATGGTCATTTAATGCTTGTTTGTATAGGGATAGAGTATGTCAGTAAGACTTATACATGTAGTGCGGTCAAAATTTCGCTGTGCAACTTATTGCCAAATATCTCAACGTATGGAACATAAACTCTCCAGCTTTGGTACTGTGACTTGTAGTACTTTGTCTTAATTAAAAGATATATAATTTTGTAAACACTAAGTTGTTAGCTCTATTCTAGAAAATTCCTTAAAAATACTAATAACAAATCCCAGCGGGTGGTTTCTACTGATTTTAAAAGGTTCACAGCTTGAACATATAGCTTTTAAAAGCAAGCCT